TAGTACAAGGCCAGGTATAAGCTAAAACTAACAGAACTGCAGCTAAACAAGGAAAAAAGCAACTAAAGCTAAAAGTAGCAGAATGGTAAATAAAAGCTAAAAGTACTACGAGGTCCGGTATAAGCTAACAGTAACAGAACTGCAGCTAAAAGTAGCGTAACAAGATGTAAATAAAGTACAACTTGCTGAGCAAATTTCACCAAATCTAAAGTGAATGAATTAACGAGATCTCGGTGCATTTCTACGAGGAAATTTGCTAATAAAATTAACTTTTTAAGTATAAAAGTTATAAAAAAAAACAATAAAGTCATAGCTCCCATCTCCTGAATGAGCTGAATGTTTTGAAAAGGGAACGGCTAAAACAGCACAAAGTATTCATGAAAACAATTTAAAAACTGGGAAACTGTCTGAAAGCTACAAACATCTGATCTAAAATTAAAAAAACAAGTGACGTTAAATAAATTCAGTTCAACTCTTTTGTTTTCGTAAATGGAGATAAGTTTTTCCCCAAAGCAGGTTATTTTAAAACCACCTCAAGACTCTTCCTATTTAGTAAAGTTTCCTTAAAGGCTAATATTTTCTTTCATTTCTACCATTCATGGGGTATTTTCATCGAACGCTGCCAAATATGGACAAGTGGGGTCATCAGGGTCAGCTCACACATATTCAGGGAGGGGGAGATGAAGAAAGGAGAGATGGAACTGTAGGTTCCTGCTCCGGGTTTAATGAGGAACCTTCAGACTAAAACCGGCTCTTTTCTGACAGGCTGGCTAAAAAAGGAAAGAAAATCAACTCTGCTGTGGTAACTGAATACGCTGAGTGACATCACAGGTTCAGACTAATCCTTGGTGTCGACGCACCGACGAAAACCACCTGAAGATCTAAAATTAAACTTCGTGACGGAGCGAGGAATTCAACATGAAGCAGACGAGCAACATCTGAGAAAGTCCATTACTGTAGGACGTCTGAGGCAGCGGGGGTGGTTCTGATGTCCATCAGCTCACCTCCCATCATCCTGCTCCTGCTGGATATACACAGCAGAAGCAGGGGGAAAAGGCTGGGGGTGGGGGCTTGACAGGAAGTGAGTCCAATGCCCTGACCACGTCTTTTCAAAACAATAATTTTCTTTGTAAATGTCACTGTAAATGTTTTCATACACCTGGCAACACAGGACATGACCCAAAACGATAAAGGGAGACGTCCAAGATGCCTCCAAAGATGGCCGAACCACCTCAACAGACTCTTTTTGATGCAGAGGAGCAGCGGCTCTACTCCGATCTCCCCCCGGGTGACGGAGCTCCTGCGAAGGATTTGGTTCTTTCAGTCATGATCCAAACCTCAGGTGAGGGCTGGAACGTGGACAGACCAGTAAACGGAGAGCTTTGCTTTTAGACTCAACTCTTTCTTCACCACGACCGACCGAAGCAACAATCATGGAAAAAAAAAGGAGATTCCCAAAACAGACCAAGGTGTAGTTCATGAGATGTATTTACAAAGCTTTGGAGAGCAGTCCAGCATTCACAGAACATTACACCGTTATCAGTTCTCTCATCTGTGTGGAACCCTGACCTGCTCTCACTTCCTGAACCGGACTAGTTAGTTTTATAGAATAACCTCCGGCCCAGCCCTCAGCCCCGCCCCTCCATGTCTGAACTGCCATCAAAAGGTCCACTTGCAGACAGGAAGGAGTGGATCCGAGTCAAGGACACGTCACCAAATCATATCAGTCAGCCCTTGAGGATATCTCAGAAACACCCAGTTCTTTCTGTTCCTCACTAATGTCACAGTAAGAGTGATTACATGAAAGTGTTGATATCACATCACAAACATGAGCAGGACGATGCAGAACGTTCCCACAGGAGACATTGATCATGGCGAGTGCAAATGAAACACAGTACACGGACACAGCCTCTTTACTGAAGAGGAAGCCCCGATCCATCGATCCATCTCCCGCTCTGTCCTATGACGAATCAGGAAAAAGGTGCCCAGACACACGAATTCCTCCACCCGAGGCAAAAACTCTGCCTGACCCGGAGGGGGAGGTCCACCTCCACCTGTTTCCGGTCGAGGACCATGACCTCAGATTTAAGGAGCTGACTCATCCCAGCCGCTCCCCTCTCGATCAATGATTGTTTTCAAAAAGTTGTGTTTAGGCCGTCCACACGAGAATGCAACTGTGACGTTTCGGTGTGGGCGGAGCCTGAGACGTACCCAACCGATTAATGAAACAGATTTGCGGAAAGCGTTAAAATATAATAGAAAAACCATTTACTTGATTGATATTTCTAACAAGGTGCAAAGAAGTAGCAAACAACGGTTGGACACCCGCCCCTTTACGGTCCAGTCCCGCAGTCCGCTGCAGAAAATCCAAACTGAAGATCCAAAATGAGGTCAAAGGTGTTCCAGACCTACAGGAATCCAGTCCTGCTGAAAGGAACTGGAGCAAACATCAGAAACTCCAGCTCCTGCTGTTCACAACATCTCAGCTTCCAACGGTTTGACTTGTTCAAACAAACTGCAGCGTGAAGCAGCGAGAACCAAAACACTGAACTCAGAGCTGTTGAGGCAGGGAGAAGGGAAACACCGGGCTGTCAATCAAACTCAAACCTTCACTGTAATTCATGACTTTAACCGTTGTTCTTGTTCTGCAGCGAGGTTGGCGACGGTCCAATCGTGGTCCTCGAGAGCCACGATCCTGAGCGGTTACTCGTTTCCCTGCTCCAACGCACCTGAGTCAATCATTAAATGACCTGTTCATGTTCTGCAGACGCCCCTTAATCACTCCAGGATTCAGATCAGCTGCGACGAAGCAGAGAAACATCAAAAACCTGCAGGACCAGAATCGGACACATCACGGCACTTTCAGGTCTCAAACAGGAAGTAGTTTAATTCATAAAAATAAAAGCACAACGTTTATACTAAAATCTGCTCTTTTTTTATTACTCACTTAAAACCAGAAGACGTCAAAGTTCATGCTCAATAATCAGGTAAAGAAATCCAACGATGTCCTTCAGGTCACCTGGACAGTTCCTTCTTTTGACCCCGTGGTTGCTCCGGTGTGGGAGTTCAGTTCAGTTCATTTATAAAGAGCCAAGTCACAACAGAGGTCGTCTCAGGACAATGAACAGAAACATTCATATATTAAATAATAATTTAACATTAATTATCTGAGGAGCCGACTGCTTTGCATCAAAATGGGTTTGAACCCGTCCAGACTTTTCTACCTGGATTATTGAGCAGCATCAGAATCAACTGCTCCTTCTCTGCAGTTGTAGCAGATAAACGACAGAAACACCTTAACTTTAAATTTGCAGTTAAACCTTTAAAACAGTTTATCGTCTTTTATTTGCAACAACTACTTTGCATTTCACCTTTGCATGGTTTTATTCTCTTTTTCTGCTTTGAAGATCTGATGTTTACGCATCGTTGTAAATTGTTTTATGGTTTTATTGTGCAGCACCGTGGTCGTTGGAAATGTTGATTTGATTTAAAATGTGACTGAGGGCGAGCGGTGGCGATAATAAGAGAGGACTATAATCATTTCAGTGTTTAAGAAAAGGTGCTTCGATGCTTCTGTTCTTATTTCCCTACAAATAGAAGACCTATATAATACAACTTTAACGTTTTAGTATTTTCCTCGTCTCACAGACCCTGTATGGTTCAAAAGGAACAAGATTAATTATCTAAGGCACGTGTGAAGAATCTGAGACGTCAAACCAAACAAAAACTTTAAATTCAGATATTTTATCACACATGTGAATGCATCGTTACAGAAACTAAACAGGACAGCAGGACCGTCCAGTCAAGGCCTTCACTGCAGAGTGGAGCTGAAACATCAGCGCAGTTAACAGCTGCTGCAGCTGCCGAACACCCTGAAGAAACCCCCTCCAACATCTGGAGCAGACAGTAACTGAGCAGCTGGACGCTTCAAGAAACGATTTTCCATGGAAATGCAGATGCAGCAGACCGACCGATGAAAGGAAGCGCTGCAGACGACTTCAGCTGCAGTGAAGTGACCTTTCGTCACAGTGCTCGCTGTGTCAACAACGTTCTGCAGGGTGTGTGATGGAGCATTCCTCTCAGCTCCAGAAAACAAGTCATGTGATCGTCTGAGTCATCCTGGAGCACAGACTCCGAGTGTTGTCCTGATCAGACAGGAGGACGCTGGTCTTCTCTCTGATCGTCTGCAAATCAGCACAAGAAGCTGAAACACTACAACATCTGGGCGGGTCACATGTGGAGCCCCGCCCTTCTCAGCTGAACCCTGGGAGAAAACGCATTTTGTTCCTAATTAGTGTTTGTGGCCGCTGATCACAAAGAAACGTGTGTAAAAGTAAAAACAGGGTTTGGTTCTCGGGGCTTCCATCTTCTGGGAACCTGAGCTGATCCTCACGAACAAGTCGAGACGTTAGAGACAGAAGAACTGCAGAAGCTGTAAACACTGATCTGAAATCAGCTCCAGGAAAAGAATCTGCTTTTAGTCCCGAGGACGACATGAAGCAACTCAAACAAGTCATTTCATAATCCTAATCCGCCTTCATAATCCTTCAGTACCACAAAAAACATTTACAAACACAAACATCTTAAACAGATTTCTTGGCTAAACGCGTTCAATCAGGCGATGATACGTGTAATAAAAAATTAAACGGATGCTGTGGATTTTAGTGTTTCTAAATTTATACTTAAAAAATTAAAATGATCCCCAAAGAAACAAAAGATCTTAAATTATTTCTTTAAATTCTTCAGCACACTGGATCCATTTCTTTCTTCTATGCTCTTTTTGGTTTATTGCTAATGTTTTGTTAATTTTAGTTTTCAGCTTTATTTGACCTTTAGCTAGAATTGAGACTTTAGCTACTTTCAGCTTTTAGCTAGCATTTTGCTAATTCTAGCATTTTGATACTTTCAGCTCACCTTCTTCTACTTTTAGCTAGCACTTTGCTAGCTTTAGCTCTAATTACACCATCATCCACCCACAATCATCTGCTTGTTCTGGACTCGGGTCTCGGGGGCAGCAGCTTGAGCAGGGAGGTCCAGACCTCTCTGTCCACAGACACCTCTTCCAGCTCTTCTGGGAGGCAAACCAACTGAGAGACGTAGTCTCTCCAGCGTGTCCTGGGTCTTCCCAGGGGTCTCCTCCCAGTCACACATGCCTGAAGGACCTCCCTACGGAGGCACCCAGGGAGCATCCTTACCAGATGAACCACCTCAACTGGCTCCTCTCGACGTGGAGGAGCAGCGGCTCTACTCCGAGTCGCTCCTGCTGACTGAACTTCTCACCCCGTCTCTAAGGGAGAGTCCAGCTACCCTGCAGAGGGAACTCGTTTCCATGGAGATGATGGAGTCTCTATTCAAGGCCTCACTGAACTCCTCCCACATCCGAGGTTTTGCCTCAGCAACAGCCAAGAGTCCTGCCAGCCAACAAGACAGTTTCTCCCAATCACGCCCCTTCAGGTCAAACTGCCGTTCCCCACGTGGGCATGAAACTCCCCCAGCAGAACAAAAGAATCCCCAGCTGGTGCACCTTCCAGGTACCACACTAAGGATTTCAAGAAGACCAGATACTCTGCCTCTCACCATGGGCAACTCCAGAGTGGGAAAAGGTCCAGCCCCTCTCAAGAAGATCAGTTCCAGAGTCCACGCTGTGCATCGAGGAGAGCCCGACGAGATCTAGTCCGTACCTCAAAACCTCACGCACAAGCGCCGGCTCCTTCCCCACCAGAGAGATGATGCTGCACGTCCCAAGAGCTTTAGCCAGGGTCCGAGGCCCATCGCACTTCACACCCGACTCGTACGGCTCCTCCTGCAGGTGGTGGGTCCACAGGAAGTCAAACCCAGGTTGTTCATTTGGGCCCTGGGTGGGGCCCCGGTCACCAGGTGCTCGCTGAAGAGCCCCTCCCCCAGGCCTGGCCCCGGTAACCCACCTCTGAGCACTGTACTTGTACTATGTTTATCTATACTTGGTACTTTTAGTTTGTTTTGATAGTTTTAGCTATAGTATCGGTATTTTTAGATCATGTTTTGCAACTTTTAGCCTTTACATAACATTTTGCTGCATTTAGCCAGTGTTTTGCTTATTTTATGTAACATTTCATTACTCAGCATTTTAAAACTTTTGGTCTGTTTCTTTTCACACTTTTAGTTTTTATCTAGCGTTTGGCTACTTTCAGCTCAGTTTCAGCTTCTTCAGTAAATTTAATCAGTCGATCAGCGTTCACGCTACAATCTGGTACAAAATAATTTCTCTAGTTTCTTTTTTTTTTTTTTGACTCGTATAAAAGCAAAATGCTCTCCAGCACTGTGGCATTTACGTTCAAAACACAAGTTAAATTTGTTAAACTGATATTTTCTGTCTTCTTTTGTCACTGCAGCTCCAAAAAGAGGATAAAAAGTTTAGGAATGTTCTTGATGAGATAAAAAGATCAATCTCCTGGAAGAATGGGGCGTTTAAGGAAGATTTGAGTGCTGACTCAGCTGGACTGAAATATAAGACATCTTTATTTATAAAGCACTTTGACCAAAGTAAATAATGGGAAATAATGAGAACCTGTGCTAATCAGAAACAATACACATAATCTTATTTGTTAGTATCTGTTTACTAGTTGAGGCCAAACTTAGAACTTTTGCTCCAACAAAAGTTGCTTTATTTCTATAAATAAAAACCTTAAAAAAAAACAACTAATAAATTAATGTTTTTATCCACCTGCGCTAAAATCTATGTTTGATTCGTCATATATATTATGTTCACAGGTATAAATATGTCATTTTTTGCAGTAAAAGATTCTAATCTCCTGATTATGTAAAGGTTTATTACAGGTTATTTAATAAAAGTTAACAGTTTAATAATATTCTATCATTTTAAATACATATTAAATAATATTCCCTGAAATCTCTACATACAACTACAAGTTTTGTGACTGGTGACAACTTTTCATATTGTTCAGAAGTTATAATTATATTAATCCCAAATGTTTAAATTTTAAAACACTCTGACATAATTGATTTGATTTAAAATCTTGTTTATAAATAAAGTAAACGTCTAAAAATGTCATCACCTTAACTACAAATCAGATTTTATTTTGGATTCATCGGTTACATCCAGAGGCCTTTAGGTACCTGAACGCAACGTTTACCTTAGAGGCTGACACGTTCAGGAGCAGCAGATTTTACAGTTTTCTTTATAATGTTGTGAATTTCTAATCCCTGACAAGGACGTGAACGTTACATCAAAGCCCAGGAGTTGGTTTTAACTGGATTAACCGGGACAGCGAACCAGAACCAACCAGCCCGACTTGTTTTCAGGGCGAGGGTTCACGGTGATCCCGACATGTCCCGCCCGTTCGGACTTTACCTTGTCGGTGATATTCTCCGCGCTGTCAGGGTCACCTCCGCCCCCGCCTCGCTTCCTCAGCTCCGTCATGTCTGCTCGTTTCTCCGCCGGGACGTTCAAGTGTCACATAAGCCTCCTCAGGCTCGGGGCTGGCGGAGGACGGGGAGGGGGTAAGGTGCAGCCAAACCCTCGAGTTTTATCAAACAAACTCCGGGATTTTTAACTCGGCTCCGATCCAGACGCTGTCCATGAAGAAGGTCTCTTTCCCCGAGAGTCCCCCGGTGACAACAGCGAGTCCCGACAAGCGCCGCCGGCTCCAGAGGACGCGAAACTCAGCGGCTTGAATTTGTTTATCGCCGCAGTCGCCGCTTTTCTTCTTCTTCTGCCGCAAAGGTTCACAACCGCTTCCGGTGAAAACTTTCAAAATAAAGGTATATATTGAATTTTTTTTTTTTTTTTATTATTATTAAACGTATACAAACATGAAAAAAAAGGTACCACAATATATACATTGTGTTCACACTACGTCCTTACAAAGTTACAACCAGCAAACAAATCTAACCAAATAAGAAGAATATAAAATAAAACCGTACCCCCCCCCCCCCCCCAAAAAAAATAAAAAAAATAATAATTTGCATTTACAATATAAAAGTCCAGGGCAAGTTGTGTTTTTCAAACAAGCGTTTTTCGCAGAAACCGGAAGCTTACTTTTACTAGTTTAAATTGACCAAATAGTGTATTATAACTGTCGACTATGGTATTTATGCATACAAAAATTTACGACGGTAATAATTAGCTTCATAAGTAAAATTTTATTTTAAACTTTATTACAAATTCGCAAATTACGTTAATTCTTTTCAATTCTGCTCGTGTCTTTGCTGCCCTCTTGTGGTCAATACAGGAACAACAGAAAATGTAGGCAGGAGTACGGTGGCCGTGAGGTGTAAATGAACATTTGAAAAACATTTAAAAAAAAAACACCCAAAACAATAAAAACAAAACAACATTTGAAAAACAGAACAGACGACCAATAATTTAAAGCATCTTATAACACAAACCGAAACATTTATGCGACAAATAAAATTAAAAAGGCTTTGGTAACAGAAATAATATCAATTAACAACCACTATTTATATAAAAATAACAATACTTATTACATATTTAAAAAGTACACAAAATGATTTAAACAAAATATACATTTATTGCTTGAGAAAAAGACTTTATTTACACTTTCTACAAGTAATCAAGCTAAAACATGCACAAATGGATCGCCATTTATTTGAATATGACACAGAAGATAAAATAGTCATTTTTGAATGGTTTAAAAGTGCACTCGGTTTTTACATCCAGCAGTTGCGTTTTAAAAAAACATTAGCGGGAGTAAAGAAACTTGAAGCTTATTTTTCTCCATTTTCTCTTTTTTAAATTTGATTTATTTAAGTCGCTACAATTCCGGTATTAATTTAAATCAATTTAGTGTGTGTTTAGCTGAAGGTGCCAGATTATGCTATACAATTGCAATCTGTTTATCTAATTACCAATTTCGTCTACACAATAAAAAAGTTACTTTTTAAAAAAAAATTATGCACTCATTTTTACTTTGAAAGTCTAAACAGGAAATACTAACATTTACGTAACCTTGACAACAGCGCAGTTCTGTTCTAGCATATGGCCACGAGAGGGCGACAAAAACACGTTTGGTTCAATGTTATTTTAACAAATCAACCATCAAAAGGCAGAAAATGTAATTTTTTTTCTTGTCAACAGTGAAAATAAGAACGTCAAAAAAGTTTGTGGTGTTTAAATATGTAAGGTATTCATATTAGACGTTGTGTCGGTGAACATATTGGTCGTCTGCCTACATTTTATCCCTTTATTGACCACAGGAGGGCAGCAAAGACAAGCAGAATTGAAAAGAGCCTTAACGACAAGAGAAGTATCTCAGCGCACTTCCGTTTTCGCAACTTCCAACGTGAGCTAGCTAACAGGCAAACGCAAAACAACTAGACATCTACAAAGTGTATAAAAAATAAATATATAATTTACCACAGATAAGATACAATTTGACTTAGTATTTTTTTGTTTACACAAAACTTTAATAAAAAGCTAAACATTTTTATATTTATTTCCTAAAAACATTCTGTCCCCTATTTGGGGTTTGAAAATGTTTCTACAAAAATAGACAATTTTTCTCCCAAAATGAGGAACACAAACTTTTGGTGGTAAACAGCCATTATTTATTGAAATGAAATAGAAAGTATAAGTACCAGATCTATTGCAGTATTGTTTTGTTTCTGTAACGGGAGCTTTACTCCACACTTTTTTAATTTATTTTTCTCTTGCAGGATGTAGTGAACACAAACATACAAGAAACATTCAGCTATCACAGATTGCACACCAGATACTGTAACGCAGCCTAATGCAAGACCACCAAAAAGAACCCAGGAGTTTCCTCTCGTTCGTCTCTTTAATTTGTCCATATTTTGTCCAGAAAGAGTACAAAAGTCCACCTGGAGCTGAGAACGTGCGTCTCTGTACACAAACTTCATCAGTCCATCCTCATCCAACAAGAAAAAAGCAGCAAAAAAACAAAAACATCCTAACATGTACAATACACTGACACAGAAAGTCAGCTGTGTTAATAAACATGCAACAAGTAAAACTTGCTGAAATTGCGATAATCATTAAAAAACAAAAATCTAAAACCAGTTATAATTGCATAAATACTTTGTACAGTTCATTTATCTGCAGTGAAATGCACCTTTCTGTTGAAATGACAACATAAATCTGCATTTAATAATAAAAAACTCACAATTCCTCTTTTTATTTTATTTTTCCTACAAGGTGCAAAGAAACTCTTGATTGATAAAAGTCAACTCTTTAGCAGTTACAGTACGGGAAAATCCAGAGAGATGAAAGGAAAAAACAACCGGAGTGCATATTATCATTCTTAAACAAGTGCAGGGATCTGTAGCGGTGGAGAATAAAAGACTTTGTCTGGGTAAGAATAATAATAAAGCAGCACCTGAATGCCCAGCTGCTGGCCAGAACAACAAACGATGACATCAGGACACAGATGGAGAATTTAAAATGTGCACAGCGTTTACCAAAACATGCAACGTAAAAAAAAAAAAAAAACAATTATTAAAGGTAGTCATTACAAATTATGAAACCAAACATAAAAGGTTTATTCTGAACTACATCAAAAGTCATCATGAACTATATTAAACAGTGCAGTTTAAAAGACTTCAGGAGATTTACTGAATCATCCATGTGAAATTCTGAAATGTGGGTCTGCGCTCAATGTAAACATTGGGCTAAAGGCATCAAAAACAATAAAACTTAATCACTTTCAGTCACTTGGGCTGTTTTTGTAGAACAAACATACATTGTTTATTGTAGCTGACATTCGGTGACTAATGTTTAATTTAAGGACGTAACCCATCAACACGAGAAATACTTTAAGCGATTTACTTTCTTAGTTGTAACATTTTGTTTTAGGCAGAGAACCTTTGAATCCCAACAGCTGAAGTTTGTTTAAGTGATTAAACGGAACATTTTCTACATAATTTCATGCTTGAATTTAACTTTTCACTCATTTCTGTTCATCCTGACATAACTTTTTTTTATTTTTAATAAAGTTATTTTAAAGAAATGTCTCTTGAAACAAAAAGATTTACAGCAATTGTTTCCAAACTTTTAGGCTACAGACCCACAAAGAGCATCAATTTCCTGCATAAGTTCTAATCCAATCAAACACTCAGATTATAACATACAAGTCTTGACAGCTATAATTTATTCATTCTTGTCTGTTTTTATCCTTTGCACTGACATTTATCTGTAAAAGTACCAGAGTAAATTAACTCAAACTGCACCACATGATGAAGTTCAGGATCATTTTACTGTTTATGTTTTCTGATTTTATATTTTGTAACAAATAGCTTCAGCTAGCGTCAATGATTGGCCACAAACTGAGGATGAAGAGCGAGCGAAGACGAGCAGAGGCCGGATAAATGAAGACGTCCCTTTTCTGTTCGTCGAGCTGCTTCCACGTGGAAACGACACTTTTTAAAAAAACGACCGTCTGAACCGAAAAGCCGAGGAAACGGAGTGATGCTTAAAGAAACGGCTAAAAGCACAAGTCAGCGAGCAGCAACAAATATCTGCAGATGGGAATTAATTCATAAAAAGATGATAGAAGTTAAAAAATATTATCAAAACATTTTGGCAAAAAATAGAAATGATCCACCGCTGTCTGACGGAGACGAAACACATTTCTGTAAACAACCTGGAAATTATTGAACAAAAAAAAAAAGGTGATTTTTGCATAACTTGACCCGCAAACATTACATTTTTGACATTCGTGTCCCCGGCTCCGCCCTCTGGGCCTGGCTCCGCCCTCTGGACTCGCTGTGACGCACGTTACACACATTTTGTTTGTTTAAAGCCAGCAGTGGTTAGTTAGACACTAAATTACAAGGAAGTCGTTTTTTCTTCGTACTGACCGTTTGTTCTGTTTGCAGATTAAAAAGTCTGAGAAGATATTTACACTATGAACAAGTTCTCAGGACAGAGGAGCTCCTTCAGCCACTACATGACTGCTTCTTTCTGATCCGTGATCGGTTTGTGTACACGTGGTAACGGGGAGGAAACGGGGGGAGTTTAGGGTCAGGTGGGAGGAATGAAACGCTCCTCGTGTCTCTGAGCGGCGGACGGAGGCGGAGCTTAGTTCCTGCAGCCGTCGTCGACGCTTCGCTCGTGCTGAAGGTTGTAGTAACAGTTCTGACAGACCCGGACCGGAGACGAGATCATCAGCCGTTTGATCTCCGACTGGAAGCGACTGCACCTGCAGAACCAGGAGACCAGGTGGAGGTTCAGGACCAACAGAACCCGATCCAGAACCAGAAACGCTCAGATGACCTCACCTCTGACAGAAGAGCTGCCCGCAGTTCCTGCAGTGGTGGCGTCGCTCCGTCAGGGAGAAGCGAACGCCGCAGCCGGAGCAGCTGTCCCCCCCCTCGTCCTTCACCCAGTGGTCGGCCGCCGAGCGGCCCGGCTGGTCGCTCACCGACCAGCTGAACACCCGGCCGCGCCCGTCGCCCACCAGGATCTTACCGTGGTCCCTGCAGTTCACATTCATTCACCATGACTGAAAACTACGAACCAACCTCAGCGGTCACAAACATTTGATCTAAAATTAACTCAAATTCATTTTATCTCGACTAATCACGTTTAAATAAACAAGAACCGTGAAGAAGTAAATCAATGACATTGATGTTTTATTTTTTTACCATATTGATAATAAAACTGTTCAAAATGGCATAAACAGGAGCATTTCTTCCCTGAACGGCAGAACTGTGACGTTTTAAAGCACAAACAAAATAAATCTGTTTCTCTGCTGCAGGAGGAGAATCAGCCGAACGTTTATTAAAGCGCTTTATAAATAAAGTTTTATTATTATTATTATTATTGTTTATTGACCAACGAAAACAAAGTCTGTTCTGATCTGAGACGATTCTTACTTGGAGATAGAGAGGGAGGTGACCTCAGCGGGGTGGGCGTTGTCCTTGCGATCAAACGCCGTGTGCATGGTGAGTTTGCTCCGGAAGACCAGCTGGCGTTCCCACCTGTGTCCTGTAAACAAACAAACAAACAAACAAACAAACAAACAGCAGCTGTTAGACGAGTTTTAAAATGTCTGAAAATCTGATAAAAGCCGCCGTGAAGAGCGAGAAAACACGGGACACCCGCCTGCTTTGAGCTGGTTGTACAGCCGTTGCTCCGTGGTGGGGGGGTGGAGAGGCTGGTGGGCGGAGCTCTGGCCCAGATGAGCTGGATGAGGGGGGGCACCTTTAGTTTGGCCCTCAGAGTAGTTGACAAACACAAAGCCGTCCTTCTCGTCGATGCTGAGGGTGTCGGACCAGCGGTGAGAGTCGTCAGAGCCGCTGTCCATGGACCAGGACGCCCCGGCTCGAGACGACGGACCTGAAGGAGAAGGAGGCGCGTTATTAACAGACGTCGACGCCAAACAATGATGAACGAAGCAGAAGTACCTCTGGGTCTGTGGACGGTGCTGCCCGGCTGGCTGCCCCCGCTGGTCGAAGCGTTGCGTGGCGTTCTGGGCTCCTGACTCAGACTGGGCTCGTCTCCGTCGGACTCGCTGCTGTCCTCGTCCCCGTTGTTACTCCCACCGCCCTCTGAAGCACCAAGAGCACGGAAGAACACAAACTGACTTTCTGTAAAAGGGTGTCAGCTGAAGGACAAACTGAGCTGGAAAAGCTAAACAAAGCTAAACTAGCTAAAACTTTAAAGGTTATCTAATCTAAAAACAAGAAAGGGCTGAATAAAAGCTAAAAGAATCATAAGGCTAGCTAAAAGCAGCTAAACTTATTTAAAACCTAAAAGAAGCAAATAGCTAGCTAATAATAGCAAAATGCTAGATAAAGGCTAAAGTAGCAAGCAACAGTGAGAGGCTAAAAGTAACAAAAGGCTAGCTAAAAACAGCAACATAAAGCTTAAACCTAGCTAAAAGTATCAGAACACTGAAGTAGCAAAAGGAAAAAGATAAAAGTAACAAAACAATAGAGGCTAAAAGTGTTAGGTTAGCTAAATGCAGCAAAACACTAGCTAAAACCTGAAAGCAGTAAAAGTGTAACTAAAAGACTAAAGTAGGAACAGATAAAACTTAAAAACAGCAAAACAGCAGCTAAAAGCAGCAGAAGATTATCTTGAACCAAAAAGTATGAAAATGTTCAGTAAAAGCTTAAAGTAGCCAGAGCTAGTAGCCGAAGCTAATTTCAATCTGAAGTAATTTTTAAAAGGAATAAAGACATTTCTGTGTATTTCTATAAAGAAATATTGGAACAAATATTTTGGAAAAATGATAAAAGTAACAAAAACTAAGAGTCTCGGCACCGATCTGAATGAGATCACTGGTTATTTATACGAGGGTAAAACCCAACAACGCGTTTCGTCTGACCGCTCTATGAGCCGAACAGAACCCCTCGTCGACCCGACCGCACTCACCGATCTTTTCCTCCCCGCAGCAGTCGGGCACATCGGGCTCCACGGGCTCTGGAGCAGGGGTTTCTGGGACTTGTAGGAACTCCATTCTCCAGAACTGTGACGTCAGTGTAAAAGAGAAAGATGAAAACGAAGCCGTACGTCGTTTACAAAGACGTCAAAAGTTTACAGAAGCGCTTCCTTCAAACTCTTTGTATGAAGCGAGTTACCCTGACGACGCCGTCCGAGTGTCCGGTGACGACGACGTTCTGCGTGTCCCACTCGTTCATCTCGGACACGCAGCAGCACAGGATCTGCTGGCTGCGGCCCGTGAAGGTGTTGGCGCTGGCGATGGGGCTGCCGTTGATGCTCCACATGTGAATGTAGGTGCCGGCGCAGGACACGATGTCACCCTGCAGACACCGACCGCCATGTTTACCAGTGTGGAGGGAAACACTGCTCAGAGGTGACGTGTTTGCTGGGACCCACCGTCAGCTCGTTGATGCACAGAGCAGACACGGGCGCTCGGTGGCCCCTGAGCTGCGTCACGAAGGAGAGCTTGTTGAGGTCCCAGATGATGCACGTCCGATCCCGCGAGCCGCTGACGACGATACGATACGTCGAGGACGCCGTCAGACACGTTACAGCGTCCGTGTGGCCCAGCAGCGCCTGGGAAACGTGGACAAACAGACTTTACGCCTGCTGGGACTTCAGAGGTAAAATGTTTCCACAGTTTCCATGAAGGAAACTAAATTGTACTCTTGTTGTCCGACAACGCAGCGTTGAAGGAAAGTTAGCATCTTTAAAACTCACGCATTTTTAGCTTTAAAGACAGACTGTAACATTCTGAAGACCTTGCAGAGGTTCTAACCGTTGTGCGCATGCAGGTTATTTTCAGGTACAGTAGTCCCTCGCGATGTCGCGGTTCATTTATCGTGGTTTTTCAAAATAAGAGTGGATATGACACACAACTGGCTGATTGATGGATGAGCAGCACGATCGGCATGGAATTATTTAAAATGAATTATTTTAAATGATTTAGCACATTTGTGCAGCCCGTAGTTGCAGAAAAAGCTTCCTCCTGCCTCTGTGCAGCCCACACTGCAGGATCAACTTCCTGCTGCAGCTGATCAGCTGTTCTCCGTGCGGGGAAGTGGGCGTGGCCAAGTGCACATGCAAGTGGCTGAGAGCAGCTGAAATCATGACATTCTGTTTCTTTTAGAGCGTTTAAAGTTTAGAAACATTGTTTAGAATATTGGAAGAGTGTGGGAAGGGTTTAAATTTCTTAATATACACACACACACACACACACACACACACACACACACACACACACACA